GAGCTCGGAGGAGCTGACCGCGGGGGACAGAGCTGCCTTGGCTGCTCTCGGGGGTGAGGCCTTTAATTTTCACAGCTCAGCGCCACCTCTGAGTGAGCTCTGCTACCCTAGCTTGGCCTTGCGTGCCTCTTGCCAAGCCCACGGGCGCTGAGCCTGGTGGCCGGGCAGCGCTGCTGGTCCAGGGGAAGCGAGCTGTGCTGCAGGATCGCTGAATTAACCAAGGCGTTGTTTTTTAATTTTCTTTCAGATTTACTCTGTTTACGAGTGTAACCCAAAGCAAGAGTTTTTCTTGTCATCTCTTCTGGCATTTGTGAAGAGACCTGAGAAGATGGTGAATGTTCTGAAAGGTGTTCTGATTGAGTGGTTAGTAACAGCGCTTATTTTCTCATGTTCTGTCAAAATCTACTTATTTCTTTAGAGCTCGAAATATTCAATGTAACTTAAGAGTTTAGACCAAAAAAAAAGTAACATTGTGAGGACGGGTGATGCTGAACAAGCAGACAAAAGAAAAATGTGGCCTTTGGGGGAAGAAGGAGAGAGGCAGTTATAGGTAATCCTAAACGCAAACTCCTCTTTTTCTTTTCAAGTTATTGTTTTCCATTTATGCTTAACTATTAGATTTCACATCTTGTTATTTCTGTTGCTTACAAAGAACGTGGGGGTTCTTTGTTGTTGTTCCTGAGCAATGTGTTTCTTCACTGATTCTAGAGGGAGATGAGAATCTTTCATCCTTTCTTTCCTGTCCTTTTTTCATCTACTCCAGTCCGAATTCTTTTCAAGGTTGACATGTGGCTGTGTTTATAGGTAGTACTCGAAAGGAATGTGTTTGTAGTTTGTAAAAGTAAGCTTTTGATGTACGTGCAGTAGACACATTTTCATGCAATCGGAGGTCTTTAGACTAAGAATCAGATAACTTGTTACTTCCAAAGTAAAAAGAAGCATCAAGTCAAGATTTGTGGGGTCATTGCATAGCATTATATGACATAAAAGATTTCTGCTGTACAGTTAGATTGTAAACATATTAACAGATTATAACTTCACAACAGCAGAAGTACCTTGAACCTCTTGTGATGTGCCTGCATGGTGAGCTTGCTTGCTAACTTCTGAGCTGACTGGACATTAGCTGGCTGAAGTCTGGATGTCTAATGGCTATCTGTGAGCAGTTTAGAGCCTAACTCTGCTATAACAAAAAGCCTGTCTTCTCAAATTTGCCTCAATGTTAGTACATTGACACACCTTCTAAAGCACAAGAAACTGCCTGCCTGGAGCTGACTATGTAAAGATGCCCAGAGCAGAATTCTTGACTGACAAGGCAAGAAGTTCTAAAATCTCAAGCAGTTAGCAAAATACTTTATTTTGTGCCTTATGTATTTATTTTACACATACCTAAAGATAATGTGTTTTTATTCAACTTCATGGCCACATGCCACTTAGCATTACCATAGAATTTAATCATTCTCCCTGGAAGGGAAGAGAATTCTCTATCTGATAACAAATCTACAGCATTTGTTATGCCATCAGACATTTTCAACAGTTCCCTGGGAAACTGACCTTTGAGTTGGATTTGCTGACTCTTGGTGGTTTGGTTTCATTTGTTTTTCTCCACACCTTTGCATAAGGGTAACTCATGATTGGGCACAAAATTCCATTTCAGGAGAAGATGTGGATTTACTATGGACCTGTCCCTTTGTTTGCATTTCAGATACAATTTGTTTTTTAAAACCCAATTTTCTGAGGATGCTTGAGATACCAAATTGACAGGGAGTGGGGGAAAAAAAAATCGATAGTTCTGAATATGTAAATCATGCAAATACAATAGTGAAGTATTTTGCAAGTCTCTCCATATTCTTCCAATAAGTACCTAAACCTATCTGAAGACACCACATCAAGGATTATAATCTTCAGGTACTAATGTGAATCACTAAACTACAGCTGAATAGAACAAGCAAAAACTAAACCTCCCTGCACCCATCCAAAAGGGGATGTGGAAGAATGCTGGGAACCACATACTTCTGGTATCTGATTTTTCTCCACTCATCTGTTTCTCTTTTGTTTCTCCTCTTAGATGCTAGAGCACATAAATATGGCCCTTCTAAAGAACATATAGCTTCCAGACTTTCCCATTCTCCTTTGCTCAAAATTACTTTGTGCTTTGAAAAGCTATTCTAGTCATGCTTCTGCAGGTTTAAGGCTAAAATTAAAGATTGTTTTTTGAGTTGCTGGGTAGAAGGCAGGGAAAGGATTTGGTTTCATAGTGAATGACTTTGTACTGTGTATATTTTTAGGTAAGGGAGAATTGGTCTTCATACTGCTTTTAAAAGGGAGATGATAAGTCAAGAAAATATCTTAATATTTACTATATTATTAAGAATTCTTTTTTAGAATTACTGTTACCAAAACAACTGTGGTCATAATTTTGAAAGTATCCTGAGCTACCTGACTCAAATTTCTTGTCTTTCTTCCACATACCATTCACCAGTTGTTGCAATGAAATACTAAATTGTACCAAATAACATGTTTTGTAAAAACTGGTATCAGAATAACATTGTCTGTATTCTTCAGAATTTTAGTGGACCAAGGGCCTTATATTTTGAAGCCACTTTAGCTGCTTAGTTACCTGTAATTTCCATACTTTTGAAATGTTTTCTTCTGAACACTTAAATTTAACTGGCTAGGTGGCATAATGAAAAAGACTATTCAGTTCCAGTGTGGTAAATGTACAATTCATACATGACCACTTTTTTTCTGCTCTGTGCTACTGTCAGTGAGATCTATGTTCTCTTGGGTTTTGGCTACCTTTAAACAAAAATATGCTTTAACATGGTTTTTATGGTGCTGTTTCTGAAGGTAGAAATGTAAGTTCAACTTCCCTTAATAAGGTTTGGCTGGGGGTTTTTTAAGCTGTTTTAACAGCAGAATAGGGGAGTTTCTCTGCCAATCAAGCAGCCAGTTCTTCTCTTTAGACTTCATTATCAGTTTATTTTTATCTCTAAAGTAACCTAAGTATTTGTTATTGTGAAAGAAACCTCTTGTCCAGAAGCTTCATAAACTTTCTTTAAATTGTGAGCAAATCTTGAAATTAATATTAATCTCCCAAAGAACTTTCAGAGTGTCTTCAAAGGGTGAGTTTTCTTGTTTGTTTTCAACTGTATCTTACTACAATGTGGTGGGATCTGATGTATGTTTATCTCTACAGTGACCCAGCAATGAAGCAGTTCCTGCTCTACTTGGATGAGTCAAATGCATTGGGAAAGAAGTTCATCATACAAGACCTGGATGAAACTCATGTCTTTGTATTAGCCGAGTTGGTTAACTTCCTCCAGGAGAGAGTGGGGGAGTTAATGGACCAGAACTCTTTTCCTATTACTCAAAAGTAAAAAGAGTAGGGAAATGAAATTACTGCAAGATTTGGAATAGCTTGGGTTGTTACTGTTTTAGTAGATACACAGTGGTTATTAAGTTCTACATGGAAGCAGCTACTCTAGCAAATGGATCACTTTCATAGGCAAAATACTCCTGATTTTTTTCTCATTTTGAAAGATTACATTTTTATTAAAAGCCTTAAAATTATACACTTTAGAACTTGCCTAGAGAATTTTTGATGCATGCGCGCTATTCTTCCTTTAGTATTTTTATCTTGCAAGATGGTATGACCCAAAAATCAGAGTAGTGATTCTGTATTAGAATGCTGTATGAACTCCTCTGATATGTTACATTCCTGTGGAATTGATTAAATCTGGTCATAGTGTGACTGATAGAATGTAAAAAATGTGTGAAATATGATCTGTGCTTGATGGAACATCTCTAAGCTGAAACCATTGTCAGATACTGCTTTAACTTTATGCGTTTTATACACCAAAATAAAAGTTGGTCCAAGTTTTCTTTTGGTTTGTTTGTTTGTTTTTGGGTTTTGTGGTGGTTATTTTGTTTGGTGTTTCCCCCCCCCCCCAAACATTTTTACAGGTGCCTCCTACTACTTGCCTACTTTTACCAAGGCAATGCTTTCTGTATTTTTCTTGGTTTGGGGAGTGGTGGTGGGAATCTAGGAGCTTGGAGGGGAGGTGGGGATAGTGGCAGATGGGGACAACAAAATCCTCTACCCCTGACTATCACACTTTAATTCTAAACTGATTACTTTCATATCAACAATAACAAATGAAAGGGGTAAAATAAATGGGAGACCAGTCCTTTAGATATAACTGCTTGTATGTTTCCACTGAAACTAATACCCAGTCACAATATGCTGTGTGATCAGGAAGAGGAAATACAGACTTGGTTGCTCTACCTGTGAAGAAAAAAGCTGGTTTTGGGGTTTTTTTGAGGGTGTTGGGTTTTTGATTATTTTTTTGTTTGGTTGGTTAGTTTTTTTTCCTTCATCTTAACTGTTCCCTATTGCACTTTGCTGCAGAGCCTCATAGTTTCATAGATTTGGTGTTTCTTTTTTTTTATACTGAGTAAAAATTGTGGTTTGCATTTGTAACTCGCTATTTCAGACACTGGCTTATTTAGTTAGTCTGCACGATGATAAAACCTGTGAAGATTTCTGTCTACAAATATGGCAGATACAGATTACAAAAACAAGAAAAATAATATGTATTACCTTTTATCTTAACCTACTTTCGACTCAAAGTAGTCAAATTTATTGCATCTATATGTAATCAATTATAAATGAGACTTCTAGGATATTACTTCAAAGGGAAGCTTGGTTTTCAGAGCTGCTCATGTACATCAGATAGATGCAGTCTTTTTTATCTTTTGGGGAAAAACAAGTTTAAATAGAAAGGCTTTTATAAGGAGCAGTTTTCTTCACTGACTCACTCTTTTTCTGTTGTCTAGTGGATATCAGATTAGTTGGTGGAGGTTGGTTTTGGTTGTAGTGGGATTCTGGGTTTGTTTTTTTTACCTCCCAGAAATAGGGAAGTTTCAGGAAAAAGTTCCATTGCAAGTTATTTTATCAAAAAGCTGTAAAAGCTGAGAAAGTTCTGCAGAATTGCATATATCCAGGCTCATGTGGATGAGCAAATAGCCTTGTGGAATTTAGTTTCATGTAGTTTCTGGTAACCCCACCCCTGTGCCCCTTTCTCTCTGACTATACAGAACAACGGGGTTTGGTCCAAGTTCTTTCATATCTGTCTTTTACAAGTGAATGCTTCCCCAGTAATGTAATTCAAGAGCTAGGTACACATCTTCACTTGAAATAAAAAGTTTAAATCTTTTATGAATGGTTTATGATTCCTTGCCTCTTTATTGAGATTGGTCAAACACTGAGCTCATAAATCTTATTTTCTGGAAGATTATTGGACATTCATTTAAAGTTAATCAGTAGTCTGATAGCTTAATGAAATTAAGCTTAATAAAATTTATTCAGAAGTGTCTTACACCCTTTCTTTGGAATCCTAGTTTATTTTCCATCCAGATTTTGATGGAAGCTAAACAATCCCTCACTCTCTTCAAATGACAGTGTTTGAAAAGTCTTGGTAGAATTACCGCTGTGGAACTTCTCTATATTTAGCATATTTAGTGCTACATTTCTGTTGTGATTTTCCTTCTAAGTCTATGATAAGCTTCTTACAGTTCTTGTCTTTTTCTCCTGTTTAATTGTACCACTTTATTGTTGCATTACCTGTGGTTTAGCTTATATTTCCAGTTATATTTCTAGTGATAAATGGCTTGTGTAATATAGAGGGATTAGAGGTTCCATACTGTATAAACTACAGGTAGGCATGCATTCTTATACTCTTTGCTCTCAATCTTTTTTGAGCAAACAAATTTATGGATTTAAACTTCTAAACCTGTGAAGACTTGCATCCTTCCTGCAGCCTAACCAGGCCTGACTGATAGTGCACTAGAACAATAAACAAAAGATATAAAGAAGCAAATTGGTATCTCCTTATAGGGGTCTAAGGAGACGGGTTCTTTGTCGTTTCTAGGGAAATAAGGGTCTTGAATCATGTAGTATGCTGAAGGAAATCCAATGAGGAAGCTTTTAGAATCTGAGTGTGTATATGTATTAAAAAAACCCAAACCACCCAGGGGTTTCTGGGGTTGAATAAACTTGGGCCTCAGAAAGCACTTATTTTTATTTTTTAATGTGTATATCCTTGGAACTTACATGCTTTTAAAAATACATGTATCTATATATTGCCCAGATGGGAGAAAAATAGATGTTAGCTTTAAAAACATCAAGACATTTTGAGATAGTTAACATTTACACTTACAGATTTTAAATGTTTTCACTGGCTTTCATTTAGGTGTGAATTGTTATTGATGAGTGGAGCTTGGAATGAAACAGTGTAAAGAATATATATACACATACATATATATATGTATTTGATCTATTGTATGTATGTATATATATATGTATTTTTTAATGCTGGGAATGCTGAGAATAAAAGGTTAAGGAGATTAGTTTAAATATATACATGTTTTGGTAATAGAGTTTATATTATGAGAACATCAGGTCTCAATGTATTTTGAATATTTTATGTTAATTTAGTATTTCCATCCGTAGCTAGTAAGTTCATATTTTTTGCTGGTTTCTAGCATAGGGACTATACTCTGCTCAGGTCCTGCTTGAGCAGCAAAAATAGAGCTTGAATGACGGTCTTGTTGCTTCTTGTTGAAATTTTCTCTTGATGGGCTTTCACTGCTAAGGGTTTAGCTGGTGCTTCACTTTTTGCTCTCAATCCAAGTTGAAAATATCTTGTCTACTGGAGGAAGAGCAGGGTAGAATAATAACCTAAAGGACACTTATTTGAACTTTATTTCTTATTTGCTACTTTATATTTAGCTCTGAAAAAGCTTGCACATTCATTTGTGTTTTTTGATGTAAACAATTGCTCTTGGGTAGTTACTGTAACTTTAAACAGGCTTATAAATACCACTTTCATTAACACAAACACAGAAGCTGAAGAGTAATATTTGACAGAAAGATGAAAGATCTCTAAAGCAAGGTAAGAAAATTTGAACAGTGCAAACAAAGTATTTATGTTAAATGCGGAGAGGGGTGGAAACTGAAAATGCAACTTCCTATTACAGTGAAGCAATAGCACCTCACTCTTACTGAAAATCACAATATTTGATGTTCTGGTTTTTGTTCAAGCCTCATACTATTTTTTTAATTTCATTTATTAATGGTCTTCAAAGAAAGCTGTGTAATATGACCATAGTGTGCCACAAAAGCAAATAAGCCTAAATGCTGTCACATATTTAAATACTTTCAGAAATTATGGGATAACCTAATTTTGGAGGGTAGGTTTTTAATGTGGAGGTTGGCAGCACAATGAAGATGACCCCAAGTTAGTCAATATAGATATTGATTATAATTAATTTCCTAGGTTGTTAATAATGCAGAAGTTCATGGTATCATTAAAATGACTGAGTTTAACTTTTCTTAGTTGGCATCATCACTATAAAAGTGTCTAATTTCAGTCAGCTCCCAGGTTAAGCTTGCAAAAGTAGGGCTCTAAACCCCATATATATGTATAATCAAGCAGGCTTTAATCATATAAACCAACACAGGCTGAGAGGTGTAGTCTGCTTTTCCAACCAGGCAGTAGGCCATGGAAGAACACAGTAAGCTTTTGTAATAAATCTTTTCGCAGTTCCCAATTCCACAGCAGATTCTGATCTTTTCCCTACAAAAAACTCACTGATTATCCCACAAATGATCCTATTAAAGCTGGTGGTGGTTACTGTGAAATGAGGCATTACTCAGTATGTCAGAATTGGGTGTCTGTGTTTGTTTTGTCATTTAGGCTTTGGCAAGGCTTATGTGCTATCCAAAATTAAGAATTCAAGAAATTGGTGAAGTTCTTAATGATGGAAGAACAAATTATTCCTAAACTAAGTGATTATCTTTGGTCTTATGAGTTAACAACTAATGAGAAATTTTAAAAAATAGGTCTCCATAGAAATATTGTATGGGCCTCTTTTTTAATGTGGAATAGAAGTAATATTTTACCCATCTTTGTTTCATACAAATAGAAATTCAGGCAGACCAGTATGGGGGAGGCAGACAATTTGAAGGCAGACCAGTAAGGGGAGCTCTTACCAATATTTTAAACTGCTTTTTTAAAAAAATGCTGCAGCACAGACAATGCTAGATCAGAGACTTACCATGCTTTGGAACATTCATATCTTTCTCTCTGGATATGCTTTCAGCTGGAGATGAACACACAACTTCAAAGGACCCTTCTAAAAAGATACTTGCAGTAGTGGATTTTAGAATGTACTATCTTTAGCTCTGAAATTTCTTAGATGTTTAATTATGCGATGTTTTCTTTCTATGCTTAGGTGCAGAGTCCTGTTACATTGAAGTGATGTGTCTGAAATGTGGTCTTCCCTTCAGGTGTTACTGGTAGGTCTGTGTGTCTCC